TCTCAGTTCTTCCATCTTAACACGACTCATGCGATAAGGGGCAATAGAGATATACTGGGTGCCAAGCTAAAGATATATGGTGAACTCAACTTTCCTGTCTACTAGTAGTCTAGGTAGTTCATCAGGAAATATATTTGAGAAGTCTAGGACTACCGAGATCTCTTAAAGCACTATATAATGAGGAAATTATCATGGAAAATAACATTTAAAATTTTCATTAATTTGTAAATGGCTCTTCATTAGGAGAGTTAAATACAAGTTTCTTATGAAAATAATCTACGGTGGTGTGGTATGCCGCTAACTAGTTCATTCTCAGGATTACATCAAAGTCCCTCGTGTTAATCTCTATCAGGTCCACACTCAATTTTCTACCTGCTATGTCTATGACACAAGCTTTGTATATAACATTTTGTAGTATTATCATACTTCTAGGAGTGGATATAAACAACATAAAATTAAGTCTTTCTGGTGATACATTTAGGTTTTGTGTAAAAATGTATGAGACAAACGAATGTGAAATACCAGTATCAATAAAAACATGTGCAAGATGATTATAAATAGTGTACACACCCTGTATCACGTCCGGGTTGGATTCAGCATCCTGCTGAGTTAGGTTGTAAGTTATTCCTTGGATAGGAGGTCTGATCTGGTTCTGATTTCGCGGGCACTCTCTCACATAATGTTGGGTACTCCCACGTATGAGAGAAGTATTAAGACAATAGCAGGGTCGATCCCCATGATTCTTCCCATAGTACTGGTAAGTCCTACCGCAGCTTGTTACTGGAGCTTGAGGAGGAATCTGAGTCACTGGCCTAGACCTTTTGTTCTACTGAACTGGTGTAGTAGGTGCTGGTTTACGGTGTGAAACTTGGGGTTTGGGATTCCCTGTTGCTGGATGAAAGATGTGAAGGTTCATCTCCATTAGCTGTGCCTTGGCTAGAACGACTGAGTACTAAACTCAAATACGTACAACTGTTGTCTGATCTCAAGGCAGAGGCCCCACTCGAACTTCTTTGCCTTCCTGCCCTCACTCATCATGCTATCAGGGGAATATAAAACTAACTCTAGGAACCTTCGGACATACTCCGACACATCTTACCTTGTATTATATGTGCAAACTCCATCTCTTTCAAATGCCAGAGGTGCTCTGGGAGGTAATCTGCATTGAAGGTCATTAGGAACTATTCTCAAATGACTAGATCAGGCAGGAGGCCTGTTTGAGCTGCCATAAGCGGTCTGCCTCTCTTATAAGCATGTAGGTGGCAAGTACAACCTTCTGTTTGGGAACCACCGCAAGAGTTGCGAAGACCTTCTCCATCTCAGCCAACAAATATTCACCCTTTTCAAAGAGGATGCACCTGCAAAGATAGATGAGTTTAGTTTTTTGTACCTTTTAATATAGTCTAGGTCCATCATGGGTGGAATTGGGTCCCGTGGAAGAGAAACTAGATTGTACTGGGGAGGGACTGAGTGACTCTGTGGCGGTGCCGGATGGTACGGCGGAGGCACCAGGTTGTACTGTGGCAATACTGGATGATGCGGTGGAGGCACCGAATTGTACTGTGGTGGTACCAGATGGTACGGTAGAGGAGCAAGGTTGTACCGGGGTAGCTCCGATTCTTTCCGCTGTAAGGGTGGCTAAAATTATGGCAGTAGGGGAGGGTAAGACAGATCCCTCCTTTCCTCTCGGGCCTACTGGGCAGACATGAGTCTTTTCAACATCTCAAAAAGTCGGTCAATATCCTCTCAAAGTAAGCCATCCCAAGCTGCTCGATTTAGTGGGGGTCTTCCTCTTCTCATTTTCTTGTACCTATATTTCACAAAAAAAAGTTGAGTGATAGTTTGTATCTGGTATTTTTTTTAAAGTCTTGTGTAAGGAATGGTTCCGAGGAACGCAGCTGTGATACCAACTGTGAGACCCAGAACTAGAAGAGAAATAAATTCATGAATTTAATATAGAAGCGATTAATAGAGTTAGAGTTTACATTTCTTACACAATAATTTAGAATGTCCAATAGGATTACGGGAATGTCCATTCTAAAAGATAAACAAAAATTAAAAAAATAAAATGAAAAACGAATAACTAAACACCCTAAGATAACCTTCACTAGCACTTGAAGGGAGTTTGAATAGTGAATTATTCACAACTTTCTTGCTAATTGGAATATGGATCTTGATCCTCTTGATCTGAAATAGTTAATGAAATGGTGAGCTACACTAGCCAATAAGAATATCACCCTAATAAAATATACGAAAAACATAATATTGGTAAAAATTATAAAATAACTAATAAAATGCTTAATTTGAGTAAATTCATTTAATATAAAGAAGATCATTTATTCTGAACTTACCGTAATAAGTTTTCTAAAACAACTTATGAAGACCTATATCTATATCACTCTTGACTTTCAAACATAAGAGAATAAGAAACAATAACTTTTTTTCCTTACCTGCTTACTGATACCCCTAGGGGTCCATAGGGGTGCCCCCCTACTCGTGAACCTAATAACCAATTTTAACAATTAACCAGCCGTCCCCATACCCCGTTCAGTAATGGGTAATAAACAATCTATCGCCTCGATATTCCGTCCAGTATGAGAGTGAATTATATTTTCCAAACCTTTCTGGTAAGGGACTTCCCAACCCCATTTGATTGAAGTAACGTTCACGGTAGGGTTTCCTATGTATAGGCCCGTTTGCCTTTTCCTTGTGTACCCATTAAGTTTTTCACATATAAATTTTCATCAATAAATAACCAACAACGCATACCAATATCTCATATGACATTCACAGATCAACTGAATTACATTTATGTTGACGATATATAACCAAAATAACCAGATAAGTTGATAAAACCATTGAACCTATAAATTATGAACATATACTATACGAGAGTCAAATAAGTAGGACAATACAGAAAAATAAACAAGAAATTAAGAGAATTGCGAACTAACTAGTTTCGGCTTCATTAGTGATATGTAATTATTTTTAGTATATTCCAATTTTTCACAAAACATGAAATTATGCATCGTTAAACCTCAATTTATCATAACTGAGAATAGGGTGAGGGATCCTTATCTGGATCGACATTTTGAGATGTCGAGTTGTCTACTATGTATTCTAACGGGTACCAGGTTCCTTAAATTTTTCTTGTATAATTTAAAACATTAGTTACACATCTAAAAATACCCGCAAAATCCAAAATTGGTGTCCAAAACTTATTCTGACAAATTTTTGGGGTTCTAGCACGACGGCACTGTTGTGCTTCGGTGCCGACTCCGTTGCCCACAGTGGCGGTTTGCCTTAGCCTTGCCAGTTTTAGTCAGTTTTTGTCAATTTTGACTAGTTTTAGCCGTACTCCTGTAGAAAAACACGTTAGGGGCTTCGATGGGCCAAAAAATCTCAAAGAAAACTAAACCTACCGGTGGGGGGACCTCCAGGTGCGGCTGCTCCGCCGGTCCTCTTTCGTGGTTGAAGTTCTTTCTTTGGCTACCCTGCACAAAAAAGAACGGTGAGCATAATGATCGAAAAATTATGTGAAACGGAAATCGAAAAAGGGCTCATCAGAGGAGTTTTGAGATTCTAGCCGCAGCGGCTCCGTCGTTACTCTTGCTCCAATTTGGACACAGAGATACTCGGAATCGAATTCTGAGCGAGTAGGGGAAAAGTTTACCTTTTTTGGCAGTCAGCGGTGGCTCCAGCACGGTTGCGGTTTAGTGGTCGGCCTCATTCTCTGGCGTCTGGTTCTTCTTCTCCGGCGGGGGCTGGCAGCTAAGGTTTAGGTTTTTGTGTGATGCGAAATATTTATAACTATTTTGCGTTGATCTGAGCCATCCATGGCAATCGAGCTCATCTGTCCGATCACGTTTAAGAAGGAAACGAATTTAAACTGTTTATCGCGATTAATCTCGACTATTCGATCGTACATAAGGTAGAAACGGATCCAGGTCGTCTACACGCGCGAGATCGATCCTGGACAGTCCAATCGCAGGGCACGCGAATCGCTAGCATGGTCTCCCGCGTGGCGCCAACGTGAGCGCGCTTGACCAGGCGGCGCACTCCAGTTCGTCAAGCCTGCTGACTGGACGATTCTAGGTGACCGAACTTTCTCTATTTGCTTTTTGACCATATTTTTTTATTTTTTTTTTAAAAACACATCCCAAACTCAAATTTTTACCAATTTTTGTAAAATTATTTTAATTTCGTTTCTAATTCATTTTTTTTTTAAATTCAATCAAATTAAAATAAAATAAATTTTTTTGATTATTTATATATATATTTCATAATCTGTAAAATTATTCCGAACCAATTTTTGAGACCGGGTGTTACAATTTTGATAATTTTTTCTTTTTTTTCCTAACAATAATTTGTAAAGAAGTTAGAAAATTAATAAAATTTATAAATTAAAGTAATAGAAAAGAATACTACACTCCGGTGTTGTTAAGTAGCGTCCATCTTGTTCTATTTTTCTCTCAATGTTTATTAATGAATTTATTTTCTTGTTTTTGCAATTTAAATTTAAAAATTTAATTTTGATTTCTCATTTCCTTGGGTCAAATCAAACACTAAAAAACTATCAAGAAAAAAGTAATTAAGATGTTAAATTTAATTATTAAAACATTAATTTCGATTATTATTTTCCAATTGTAAAATCATATATTTAAAAATGTTACCAAAGAAAAAAAATTGAATTTTAATTTTGAAGATTTCAAATTTAATGATTAAAAAAATCTCAAAAAAATTAATGATTAAAAAGTAAAGAAAAATAGTTAATTCTAAAATTTGTTAATCGACGTAAGAAGGTAATAAAGTTTTTTGGTAAAATAAAAAAACAGAACAGGAACGTAAAGAGCAGATGCGGTCGGGTTTCGTTGAGTTTAGAGTGTGTTTAACAGAAAACCTGTTTCGGATTTTATTTTCCACGTCATCATTTCTTAGGGTTTTATTTTTTAATAAAATATTTATATTATTTTATACTCTTGTCTAGACTCTCACTCGCACAAGGTCTCTCTGCTGCTTCTCCCTCGTTTTTTTGTCTTCCATTTTCCCGAGAAAATGTGCATGAAAATTTACGGCCACCATCCTTGATCCCCAAAATTCAATACCACCACTCTCTTTATAACCAAAGAAGAAGAAGATCATCACCCCTTTAGCAATCATGGGGGGGAAAACTGAGACCGCCAATGGCACCGTGAAACCAGCATCCGTCGCAGTGAACCTGAAATCAGATCTGCTTAGTGGCTTCCCTCTGAAACCCTAAAACTCAAACCAAGCACAGGAGCTCCTGATCCGAGTTTCCATCCTTTGTCTCGTTTACATCTTAGCTTTTATCACCCGCTTGTTCAGCGTGCTTCGATACGAGTCAATGATCCATGAATTCGATCCTTACTTCAACTACCGTACTACTCTCTTCCTGACTCAGAAGGGGTTTTACGAATTCTGGAACTGGTTCGATTCCGAGAGTTGGTATCCTTTAGGTCGTATCATTGGTGGTACCCTTTACCCGGGTCTCATGGTCACTGCCGCTCTCATCTACTGGCTTCTCCGTTTCCTCCGTTTCTTTGTTCATATCCGCGAGGTTTGCGTCCTGACTGCTCCCTTCTTCGCCTCCAACACCACATTGGTTGCGTATTTCTTCGGGAAAGAGATTTGGGATTCTGGGGCTGGTCTCGTTGCTGCTGCCCTGATCGCCATCTGTCCTGGTTACATTTCTAGGTCAGTTGCAGGCTCGTATGACAATGAGGGGGTCGCCATTTTTGCTCTGCTGTTGACCTTTTACTTGTTTGTTAAAGCCGTGAATACAGGGTCCTTGGCCTGGGCTCTGGCCTCTGCGTTCGGCTACTTTTATATGGTTTCAGCATGGGGAGGCTATGTATTTATTATCAATTTGATTCCTCTATACGTGCTGGTGCTTTTGATAACGGGGAGGTACTCCATGAGGTTGTATGTTGCTTACAATTGCATGTATGTTGTGGGAATGCTGCTTGCCATGCAGATTCGGTTTGTTGGTTTTCAGCATGTGCAGTCTGGGGAGCACATGGCTGCCATGGGCGTCTTCTTCTTGATGCAGGTTTTTAGATATGCTCCACTCTCTGTTTTCGAATTTGAACTTTTGAGTTTATGCTAGTGTATGCTGTTACTTGTAGCCCTGTTAGCTGATACTCAATTTATTTCATTTTCACCATGATTCAAAAAGCAATATGACGTTCTTTCTCTCTCTCTCTCTCTTTTCTCTCGTTTGTTGTAAAGTTATGTTAATCGCTGTAGAGAGGATA